TCCTCACTTGCTCACTGCTTGACATTCTTTGTACTGTACTTTATATATATCTTGTTGCTTGCTTGCTAGGTTTTGATCACTGTGTTGCTTGTCTTGTACTATATCTAGCACTGCATGTGAACTGGCCTTGTGGCCTTTGCTTGTGCTCGGAGTGTGGTGACGTTGTGATCCACCCTGGGCTTGCGTTGCTTTGCTGGACTGGTCTTGTGACCCTTTGTTCTCCCCCACTTTGCCTATGGGGGTGTGTTAAATTGTAATGTGTTATATGTTGGTAGGCTGTAGTGGGGTAGCCAATATGGGGTACAACCCCAACTAGGGTTTCATATTTGTACCCAATCTTCTGCTAGTTCACTCATTCTTGCCTAGTGATTCTGACAGCAAATGTTTGACTCTGAGGTGTAATGCGGTGCACAACGATACATAGGTTTTGTGAAAGGATTGAGGCACTTGTCTCCATACAGGAATGTATTCTAATAATGCAGTGTACATAATGTATGAAGAAACTTACCTCTCCTGAGTCGTGCGGAAATGGCGGAGGATCTGTCGTAAGCACATGTAAATAACAAAACAACACGTGTATTAAAAATGTTGAACACAATGTACAGTGTGATACGAAAGAATAAACCGAGAATCAATCATTGATGCATGCATGTAACATGTAAGATGATGAACATGATGAATGATCTGATACAGATGACATATCGCCATGATGTTATTCAACAACAGCGTACACAGGAAAATGGTCAGAGAAATATGTTTCACCAACATATACTTTTATGCGTGTTTTGAAACAATTGCTCCAAATGTGATCGATAAGTGTGCCATTTACCGTCGTATGATCAACAATGAATTGCGTAAAACCATGGAGTTTGAAAAAACGTTGATAGTTAGGATGCGTACCAGCATTCATATCGACATTGAAATCGCCCAAAAAAATCATGTTACAATTTGTATGCTTAGTTATGATCGATGTAAGCATGTCAAACAAAACGTTATAATTTCGTTGATTGGTTGGATTACGATAACAACCCGTAATAACTACACCTTCATCATTGACGTTCATGGTAAATGTTAATAATTCAACTTTTGAATTTTCGACATACTGTACGTTTCTGATTGAAATATGATGGTGTATAATAATCCCACCAGATTTGCAATCAAAACGAACAATTTTAAACATGTTGTTTGTCAAATTCGGTAACTGATCATTATCGCACAGGTGTGTCTCGAACAGAATAATAAAATCAAATCCATAAAGACTGCTGATATTAACATCTTTGTAATGTCCTCGAAAAGTCCTTACATTTTGAAATGCAAACTTCATCAATGACGATTGTTGAATAATCGCACCAATCGGTATTGGATCCAAAACAAGAGGTTTCTCACGTAGACGGCGCATTTCCGCTGCTACACGAGAATCGGTTTTGATGCATGCTTCTGAAAAGCTTCGAAGGAACAGTCGAGAAGGACTGCGAAATCGACTCAAAGCAACATATGCTCCTTGTGGAAAAACTTTGGACTCAAAATGTATGACTCCACTTTCAAAAGTAGCACCTTGACTTCGATGAAAGCTTATCGCATTACTTGGTCGCAATGGAAACTGCATTCGAGAAATCGAGTCATAGCGAGAATTCACTGATAATGTCTTCTCTATTCGTTGAATAGGCGTCCAAGATGGTTTTACTCCTTGAATCGTAGAAAACAACTGTCGAGATTTCATGCGCATATTGCTGCCAACTGATTCGTCGTCAAATTGGACCCATATCACTTCCACCGTATTGTGTGCATTCAATGTAAAATGGACTACAGTGCCAGGTGTGCCATTAGCAAGCCCGTCTGACGTATCCACATTACAAACCATGTGCACACGCGAGCTGATAAAAAGCTCAAGAATCGGATATAACCCATGTGATGAAGATGTCGCAAATCCATCCGGGGTAATCGGTTTATCCTTTCTGGATTGATCAGTCCCGAACAATGCGCAATCTAACGCCGGGATTGCGTATTTCTCTTCCATCGAAGATGAGAAAACACCGTGATTAAACGAGTCAATAGCTTTATTAGTGCAACACAAATGTTGCAAACTTGTCTCTCCCGAAGGAATATCAACTTGTCGGTCTCGTAATAAACATACGTCCGTAGGAGTTTGGGCTCCTTCGCGTAGACGATTTAGTAATTCGGCAAATCTGACTTCTTCACGTTGCCGCATGATCATTGTGAGCTCAACAAGTTGTACACGTCTCCAAATGTTTAAATCGCATGTTGAAGATAGATTGGTACGGTCGCCGAAACAATGGATATCACGCACAGGAGGTAGTTGGAAAAAATCCCCAACAAAAACCATGTGCAAACCTCCGAAGGGAACGTTCGCGTTATTCGTAAGTTCACGAAGTCTAAAATCTATCCATTCGAATGTATTTTTCCCAACCATTGATATTTCGTCGACAATAACAACCTTAACGTCTCCAAGTCTTGATCTTAAAGTATTTAACCTGTCCGAAGTCAATTTCTTTATACGACGATTCTGCACGACTGGAATCATAAGAGCATTATGGATTGTATAGCCCTTAATCTGAAAAGCTGCAACTCCTGAGGGAGCTATTTTCAACACTTTGATCGTGTTGAAATTGGTGTGGATCTGCGAATGGAATATCTTGATTAGTCGATCGTGAACCGTTCTAATCAAAACAGACTTTCCAACGCCGGCACCTCCACTAACGAAAATGGACAAAGGTCCATATTGAAATGAACGACGCACGCCACGTACGATGTGATCGGCAATTGCACGTTGCTCTGCATTCAACATACGTTCCATCGAAAGATAATCGCTTTCGTTTGCAGCCACCGAATGAAAAATGTCGGTGGATCTGACGAATTTGTCCAACCCAAGTTCGACGCCAATATCAACGTCTTCATTTGGTGCCGTTTCGCTATCGGGATCGTCGACATCGTCATCCACATCAATAGCGTCTTCTAGAGCGCGTATCCACGTATCTCCATTCATCGAATACTCATTCATCTTAATCGAAATGATATCATTGTTTGCCGCATAGATTCGAGCTACGTCGCTAGATTCACAAACTTCTTGACGAAAAGGAACGAACAATAATATTTTCTCGCGCATATAGTTATCGTTATCGATGTCACTAAACTCATGAGTATTTTTTTTTTTTTTTTGCTTATATGAGCTATACACCAATACAGAAGTGTACAACAATAAACAGTTATAACTGTGCGTGAGAAGCAGGGGGACCTGTCTCATTGAATCTGATCCCTACACGTGGATCCGGGGCCTGTGTGGCTTGCCCCAAAGTGTTGTGAAATTGTTCGTCCACCGCCGACTCTTGGCATCCACCACTCGAATGCGGATTAGGAGGTGCTGTTCTTGTCCCGCCATCTCGTGCCACCTAGATTGATGCTTCTTCCCAGTGTGCTGTGATTTCCTTGCCAAGGCCCGCACGTAGATGTTCACATGCAAGTGTAGGGCCGTTTCGATCTTCGGCAATGCCCGCCTTGCGCAGAATTTGCAACCACGGAAGGCCCCGTTCCGCCCATAGCTGATGAAGAGCGCTGGCTATCAGAGACGCTTCCGGAAACACTGACGTGGATCCTGCTTCTCGAACAACCAATCACCAAGCGATTCCGTCTGCCTGATGGGGTTGATCATGCGGAGGGCTTTTTTCACCACCAAAACCACTACTTGAATCCTTGGGCACTCGGAAAAACAGTGCTCTAATGTCTCAAAACTGTCACAGTAAGGGCACACTGGTATGCTGCTGAGAAAAGTGAGCCGCTCCTTGACTTGCAAATTGAGACTGTGAATTCTCAGCAAAACATCTCTAGGCCAGCTGGGGGTGACCAACGACTCCCGTGTTCTAACTGCCCGCTTCCAATCAATGTGCCTGCCCCACCTGCTCTCCCATTTGCTCCGCCTGGCTTCTCCGCTGCCACCGTGCCCCCAGTAAGACCTGAGGGTCTTCAGCGGTGCAGCCTCCCCGTTCACCAGGAGTTTTGCGCGAAGTTGTTTCGACCCCGCTCTTCTAGCCTCATACATCTCTGCAAACCCCACTTGCGATAGCTCAGCTGAGAGAGGCATCGTCCTCCAGAAATCTGGTGCTGCTGTAAACGCCTCGAGTGCAAGCTTTGCAGCTTCTTTCCCCCATAATTCCTCTGCAAAGTGGCAAGATCTTTCAGCTCCCCTCCACGCCTTGTCTTAGCCGCTTTCTGTATGCCGATCGGCGTGGTCCCTTTCCTGAGGATGTGTCTGTTAATTACAATTCTCTCCAGCGCCACCTCTTCCTTGATCCGTTCAACCCCAGTCACCGCCAACGGTTAGCGCACGAAGTTCATGGCATGTGAGAATTTGGGTGAAAAAGTTCACTACAGCTCATTTGGAGGCATAATCTCCCAGCAGCAAGAAACACAGGCGACAACAGCAGGAGAACGCACCGTGCAGCAAGGATGCGGTAGTGAGGAGAGACGACCCCTGAAACTCCAACGGAGGAGCAGCGCAAAAGAGTGAGGCCATTCTCTGCTGCCCTCACTGCGTCTCCATCAAAAAGCAATTGGCCTGTGGCACCCCACGACCAGCTGGGCTCCAGCAGGATGTCCACCCTGAGGGAGGCGGTGGGTAGTGGTGGTTATACGGATGGGAGAAAAGTGGGGATGGGTTAGGATTTTCCGCCGGCACTCCTTTACGTCATGGGCCTGTGCTCCCCCATGGCTATTGGGAGATGCCCATTTTGTGTGGCGGTAGTGGAGGGTGATAGTGATGCCAGTTTGAACAGAAGGGCAGGCTCAGACCTGAATCACGACTCAGAGTCACCATTTGCAACAAGAAGACAAGGCAGGAATTTACACACACACACACACACACACACACACACACACACACAAACACACACACACACACACACACGCATGCACTCACCCTTGTCTGCCGGCCTGGCGGATGAGCGCAGGGAACTGCATGTCAAGGCAGACGGCCACGGACATTCTCCCTAGTTCTGTGTCCACCACGGGTAGGGAGCCGGAGCCTGGCAGAACATCCGCCTCCACAGAGGGAAAGAGGTGCGACTTGTTGTAGCACAGATGTGGGCGCCGCTGGGGTCGATGAGCACAAACGTGTTGATGAAGATCTCCGGGACGAAGGTGAGGAGCTGCGAGGCGGGGAGGGGTTGGGGGTGAGGGAGGCACACAAGGGGAGGGGAGGAGAGGGGGGGAGTAGGGCAAAAGAAGGCGTGTCAAAGCTAATCCGGCACACATATACCTGTGAACCCATGTTGTTATGGAAATCAAAACCCGCACCTTTACGTATGAAATGCCCACGTATGGCCCAAGGACTGGTGGAGCTGCGGCGTCCCCAGCAGCAGCGGCAGTGCGGTTGGCCCTGGCAGCGATGGCGATGGCAGAGAGGTCAGCCAGGAGCTTGGACTCCTCATGGTCGTACAGAAGAATGATTGTAGCCTCTGACCACAGGATCAACCCATCGCCTGCACTCGCCCTCTGCTGCGTCTGCTGCATCACCCGTGCTATGCCTGTCACACGCCGCGCCTCCCACTCTTCCCACGTCCCTTTCGCTGGCGCTGCTGCTTCTCCTACCCCATCTGCTGCTTTTTCTCTTCCCGTTGCTCCTTCCCCTACTGCTGCTGCATATACTGCCCCTTCTGCATCTCCATTTCGCCCCTGTTGACACTCTCCCTGCCCCCCGCACTTCTCCCCTTCTCCCCCGTATCCCTTCAGCACGGAGAGAGTGGGCAAAGGCGTGGAGGCATTAGCAGGAGCAGAAAGCTGGTGGATGGATTCCGGATCTCTCGGAGGGATGGCTTCGGTGGGGGCTTGCAGGATGATGCAGGAGACAGGGACGGCGGGCACGATGGGTGCTCCTATCAGCTGCTGGTAGAACCTGAAGGGATTGACCAAGAGGATGACGATGGGAGAGGGAGAGGGAGGGGAAGAGGAAGTGGAGGAGAGAGAGAAAAGAGCAAGAAAGGCACTTAGTCATTTCCCTTCCAGCCTGGGGAAGGGGCGTTAATTCCTTCTGGATTGGGGAGCATAACTGGTTGGAGATGGATGATTAAAAAGGATAGAAAAACGATTGGCGGATGCAGAATTTGGAAACGTTGCGAGGGAAAGGAGGAAGGAAGGGGAGAAATGACGGGAGTTAGTAAAGGGCAGTAGAGCGTGAGAGTTTGCAGTGCAGCGGTAGGTACCTGGATGAGAACACAATCTCTCGAGCTGACCCAGCAGCCATCAGCACCACCAGCAGTGCCACACTCATTCCCACATGGCCCCTCCCGCTGCTGCCTACCCCGAGCTTGTTGCTTCCCCGAACTCCACCTCTTCCCCTTTCCGCACCTGCCCCTTCTCCTCCTCCTCCTACTCCATTCCTCACTGCACTAACACCGTTACAGGCCTCACCAAACACTTGACTGCTACCCTTCTCCCTCTCCCCCTCCCCAGGGCACCTCATATACTCTTCCCCTCTCCGACCCCGACTCGATCCTTCCTCGCTCATCACCGCCGCATCCCCCTCGCACATCATCTGGTGAATACCCGCTACTAGCCAGTCCACCAGCAGCAGGACACCATCCATGCCCACATATGCGGTGGCTTGCACGAGAGGCTGCAGGGTGCACAGCGAGTAGAACGGGTGGGCTAAGGCACCAAAGGGGGAGTGCAGCGAGAGGAAGCTCCAGATAGAGGCGGAGACGAGGGGGAAGACGAGCGCATGCAGGTGTGGTGAGCGCCTGCGTTGGGGGGAGGGGAGGGGAAGGAAGGGGAGAGGGTTGGGTGCAGGAGGGCGGAGGTTTCTTTGGAACGAGTAGAAGGAGGTGGGCAGTGGACCAGGGGGGAGAGGGAGAGAGGTAGAGAGGAAGATAGGGGGAGGGAGGGACACGGAGCAGGAAAGAGGAAAGGACACTGAGTAGTCAGCGCGAGATAGACATCGCGCCAAACAAGTGCCATCACGCTGCCACAACAGAGCCAACACGTTTCAAACGCTGCTGCTCATTCCTCCCTCAGTCCAGCGCACCTGTAGGTGAAGCGGAAGAGCGAGTCAGCGAGGCATGGCAGCACGTTGGCCAATGCGACATGGGTGGAGGCGACGATGTTGGCCGCCAAGCTCAAAGCGTAGTTCCCGTATGCCACTGTCGTGCCGCACGCCTGTGGGGTGCATACGTGGCGCCACGAACATGTGGACATGCCGCACATCATGCACACACACGCACACACGCACATCACAAGGGTGAGTATGAGACACAGCCACCACTGTGGCACAACTTGTGGCGTGCGTTGAACCCAGATGATGCAGCTGCGTTGACCAATGCACAAATTACCATGTGACGGCTACCTGCGTTGCGATAACGACGACGGTAAGTGCGACGACGTCTCGCCACGGCCGGTCGCCCACGCGCGCCGCGGAGAAGAAGCGGAGCGTCAGCAGCTGCTGCAGCCACGCCGCTAGGAACACGTCCTGCAGTCCGGTGAACGCGGTGCATATCGAGGCGAACACAAGCAGGTAATAGGGGCTGCGGGCACCGTCAAGCGGGGCGAAGGGGCCGCCGCCCTTCGCCATTGATGAAAAGAGGCACCAAAAACTGAAATCGACAGGGGAAGCCACCTGTTGCGTCATCACTTCGAAACAACGTCGGGAACGAGGGGACCTTAGAAGTTGCTGTGACTTCGGAGAGCCGTGAATTCTCAAACCGAATCTCGTTTGCGATACTGACAGCGTCACGACGTGACATTTTGTACCCACCGCCGCAAGGCCCAACTACAGCTGATGCTCACCCCATGCACGCGAATTTGCCTTGCGCCGGATGGATACGCTGCACCCGAGGTCGTTTCCCCAGCCTTATGCACCTACATTACAAGCGCGTCGCGTGGTTATCAACCAATAGTAACGAACAGACCAAAGTCAAACTAGGTACAGACCGAAGTCAAGCAGAAGAGACTGAAGTCAAACTAGGTTACAGATCTTGTTTATAAGCACATGCGAATCCTTTTTAGCTAGCTGCGAATTGACGAAACTTATGCTCGTGACAGCTTATACGCCCCCTTCGTAAGGCAACCGGGAGGGGCTCAAACAGGCATCAGGTGTACCTAGCCTTTTCAACCAGTGGTTGTACACAAAATACCATGTTTGGACCGAAGCGCCGAGGCCCAACTACCGAGTCTGGTTGTACAGGTAACAACATGTTTGTACCCGTGCGCCGAGTCCCAACTACCTATTTGCCGGGTTGTAATAACAGTCTCCGGCAGTTGCTGTCGGGCCGAGATGAACATTGACTGTGCTGGCTGTTGGTCACAATAGCCCCACTAGGCCGTTGACGGACCCACAACCTTTCCAGTCAACACATAAAGTCAACTCTTAGGGCGCGTGTCTTTTGGGCCCAAGCTCAAACACATGCTCGAGATTAAGGTGGTAACAGTGTTCGTCAATCTCGCCCATTTGGTTTGCGAAACACCACGGAAAAAAACATGGACACTGAGCATGGTTCGAGCTTACACCTGAATGTTCGAGTGCACGTTTTGTCGAGCGTGTGCACTTTTGCACACGCACGACTAAGCTACGAGAACTGCGAAGCCAAGTATCACTCTCGTCTGGACCACAAAAGCCTTCGACGGATACACCTAGCCCGCGATAACTTCATGGACGGATACACACTTGAGGGACCTACAACATTTTCAGTCGACACATAAAGTCAACTCTTTTGAGTCGACTCAAATGCAAAAAAACTGGTCATGTTGGCCGATGGTGTTGCAAATACGGTAGGTGCATTCCCAAGAAAATCCTGTCAAACCTGAGCAGGGTTGTAGCTTGCAGGGCGTTTGCCTTGCTGGCCCTTGAATTCCAGGGCTAAGTTTCCCTTAAAGTCTGAGATTGATGGGTTGAAGTATTTCTGGCCCTAATTCGATACAGGGCTGATTTCATATTCGTTCTTAGTGTTTTAAGGGTAGCTTTTAGGCGAGCCCTGGAACAAAAAATATCATTCCTCCCCCTAGCCCCACTCCCCCTCCCCCTCCCCCGCTCCAACTTTAACTATCCATCTAGCATATCACCCGCCATTTTCTATATTGGTACACCTAGCCCGCGATAACTTCATGGCTGGTATCTTCACCACCTAGGGGTACTTTCTCTTGGTCAAGCTAGTTTATGAAGGTAGTTTCGGATTTGAATGGGGTAGTATTATGCATTCCTTCACGAGATGACGGAGAGTATAAACTTTGTATATGCCAATCCGCCCTTCTCTTGGATCACTAAGTGCCAGTTTACTGTATTTGTTGTATAATGTTAGCCCCATAGTCTCTAGGTGCCCGTCTCATTGCAAAATAACACACAAGGGGTGCCTGTAAGAAAAAAATTGCGCGGTGAAAATACCGCGGGCTAGGTGTAGCTCCAACCTGGACTTTCTGGTTGGTCCAAAATTCCATCTCAACTCAACCTATAAATTCTGCTTGTGACAATCACAACTTGTCTCCCTTACATGGATGGTGCTCAAATCTTCATATATATTTCTAGGCAAAACATAACATAAACATAGGACAGGAGGATTTCTCTTAGTGTGACTGTCAGGATGCTAGATCAGCTGATCACTACGGAAATCTAGTACTATCCTCTAGAGTGGGTAGAAATGCATGAGGTCTTTAAACGAGGCTACGGATATTTTCACCCGAACCCTGCAGCTTAAAAGGCTCTAATTAGCTCTAGACCTATGAAATTCAGGGTCGTCATGCCGAGGCCCCTGATTTGGCGGGGTACCTTAGAACCAAATGAGAGCCTTGATTTCGACTGAACAAAAACAGTCGGTTGCAGAACGGTGCGACGACATTAGAAGGCAATAAGCAACTACAGTTTTCTGCTATGGAAAATGATGGTGTCTCATACAGTCGGTGCCCATCACAAAAACACCAGGTAGTCGGATGGCATATGCGCAAAACAGGTCTAAGCGTTTCGCCCTCGTCGTCACAGGCAAAATTCTTATTGTAAAATGAAATTGGAATAGAAGTAGAATGTGGGTGTTTAATTTTCTTAACCAAGTAGACATTTTGGATTACGTATACAATAGGCAGTCCTTGCTGGTTTTTGTAGGTACACATTGGCTTCCGCTATTTGGTGACTGTACCCTGAACTTAGGTACAATGCTCATTTAGTCATTCCACTAGCAAAACCGTTTTGCGAATGAGTAAATTTCTTTCACAAACAAACTGTACCTGATGGCGATCCTCCCAAGACAGCACAGACATTGCGCTACTTGAGGAACCTGAATCAAACCCAGATAAAAAGAAACGAGCAAGTGCACCTAGTCCTCCATATATCAAGGCCTCGACTGTGTTTTCTATGAGACCTTATGTGTTTTTTATCTAGTGAGACAGACACCCAGAGATTACAAGGTTATAAGAAGACCCATAAGGCGTTTCAGACAAGTAAACCTCGCACTTGGCAATCCAGGTGAAGGGACGGAATGGCATTGACAAAGATTCTGCTTGCAGTTAGCTCATGAGGGGAATGCTCGTCTATCCATCCGCTAAATTCAGTCTATATGAACCGCTCAAATTAACTATCCTGACCTACTGTAGGTACCCCATATGTTGAAAATATGGAGGACAATGTGTAAAGGCACCCTTGTAGTAAGGACGCACCACCTATGTTTGATCTCGACACCGATCTTGTGCAAGGACCAATTTATGGCTTCGTAAAAAAAACAAAAGGAAAAAATGCAATGTTTTGCGCTTCAACATTTTAGGGTTTGGGGTAAGGATCGCACTAAACCTTATCATAACCTTTATCAAACCTGCCAAAAAACGATCATGCGCGGGATCGGTGCTGGGGATTGGACGCATCATAACGGGTGCCAGACGATCTGCATTTGTGTGCGTAGGCCTTCTTTTTTGGGTTGCGAAGCAACCTATTGCGATCGTTATGTACATTTTTTTTTTCCGTATTCGTACTCTATTTCTTTACATAGAAGGTGATCCAAAATAATGTCATTTGAGCCCACCACGTGGTATGGAACCGTTGTATTTCTTCCAAATATTTTGCTGGCCAGACTCTTCGTATGTATGAATTATGATTCTCTTCGATGTTAATCCAAACCTGCACTGTATATTTTGTAATGCATACGCAGTAATATTCTGTCGGACATAAATGAGGATGAAATGCATGCATAACAATAAATATAGTGAGCCAAACATGAAATGATAATGCATAATATGATGTATATGCTATAGTTGTATGAGTAGTATATGCATATATGTGCTACACCAATGTTGTGAATGCGTAAGATGATTGAAATGTGTGATAGTTAGTTGACCCATACACTAGGCTACCGCATCCCCTGCCTAGCATGGGGGGAAAGCCAATAGCTTAGCACATGAATCATCCAACAATCACATGAAATAACACAATCTGTGTGATCTAAAAAAAAGGTCAATTCCATCAAATCCAGTTCAAATGGACACACTCACTGAGTGCGCAAAGAACCTTCTCGGAAATGATAGTTTGATCCCAATTTTTAAACCTCACAGACATGCGTTATTAATGCAATGGAAACATGAATGAAAGGGCATACGCGCACAACACAACGCATAACCACACAAATTAAAGAGACAGTCGCTTATTAATATCTCTCACGCTAATTGTTCTCACGCTCACGCATGTCTGTACTCATTATAATAATCTGTTCAAATGTATAAGATTTAACCCATCGAAATTATGACATTATAACTCCTGTGAGCATCTTCTCCGTTGTTTCAAATCGCTCACAGCTTCACCATCGCTGTAAAAAAAAAAAGGGCAATTTTCAAATGTAAGGAAAAAAAATCATAACATTAATCAAACTACCATTATGACGGGTACATGTAGAAAATCACAATAAAAAATATGCTCACGTCTTGTCTCCTTTTGGCGGGTGTTGACGAAATCGGTGTGCTCGATGTGTCAAAGCTTGTTGTTGTCAGAATCACTAGGCAAGAATGATGAACTAGCAGAAGTTTTGGGTACAAATATGAAACCCTAGTTGGGGTTGTACCCCATATTGGCTACCCCACTACAGCCTACAAGCATACTACAGTTTAACACACCCCCATAGGCAAAGTGGGGGAGAACAAAGGGTCACAAGACCAGTCCAGCAAAGCAAAGCAACGCCCAGGGTGGATCACAACGTCACCACACTCCGAGCACAAGTAAAGGCCACAAGGCCAGTTCACATGCAGTGCTAGATATAGTACAAGACAAGCAACACAGTGATCAAAACCTAGCAAGCAAGCAACAAGATATATATAAAGTACAGTACAAAGAATGTCAAGCAGTGAGCAAGTGAGGAAACGTGGACACAAGGCCTAAAGAAGTACAGTGCCGCTGATGATCACTAGGCGGGAGCGCCTTGGTGAAGATATCAGCAGTGTTGGCCTTCGAGTCCACGTACACAAGCCGAAGCTGACCGCGCTGCTGAAGCTCTCGAGCAAGAAAGTAGCGAAGAGCAATGTGCTTCGTCCTGTGCTCCAGTCTGTGCTCCTGACACAAGGCAAGAGCCGCCTTGTTGTCACCGTACAGAACTGGAGGAGAACTAGGCCGCTCTCCCAAGTCAGTCAGCAGGTAGGTGAGCCAGCGTAACTCCTGTGCAGCCATGGCTGTGGCGTAGATCTCAGCCTCACAACTAGAGCTGAGAACAGAGGAAGAGCGGGTGGACCGCCACGAGACAGAACCTGAGCCAAGGCTGAAGGTGTAACCCTGTGACGACCGCTGCGTAGCCAGGTCGTCCACCCAAGAGGCGTCCGAGTGACCAGTGAGGACAACTCTGTCGCGTCCCCCAAGCACCAGCCCCATGCCTGATGTACTGCACAGGTAACGCAGCACCCTCTTAGCAGCCTCCCAGTGCTCTCGCCTGTGTCTCCCAGGCGCAACGTAACGAGCAAGGATGCTAAGAGGGTACGCGAGGTCAGGTCGCGTGCAAGTCATCAGGTACATGAGGCAGCCTACAAGCTCTGGGTACGGGCCACTCGGCTCTACAGACTCGTCCGAAGGTGGAGCTGAGAGCGAGTGGCTGGTAGCCAGAGGTGTGGCCTGTGGTGAGGAGAACTGGAAGCCGAAGCGCTGAAGGACCTGCTGCACCATGTGTGACTGAGTCAGGGTGATGGTGCGGCGAGCTCTGTCCCGGGTGATCTGCAAGCCAAGGTAGCTACGCAGTTCACCCAGGTCAGTGCAGGTGTGTCTCTTCTGCAGCTCCGACTTCACACGAGCGAGTGCCTCAGTGTCAGCAGTAGCAAAGACCAAGTCGTCGACGTACACGAGAATGTAGAACGGCGGCAGCGACGTGTCTGTGCGCAGAAACAGTGACGGGTCAGCAGTAGACGGCGCGAACCCAAGAGCCGCAAGAGTAGTCCTCAGTGTGTCGTGCCACTCACGTGGCGCCTGGCGGAGACCGTAGACTGGCCGGCGGAGACTCCACTGGGTACCAGGGGGAAACGACCCAGTAAAGCCAGGTGGGCGGCGCAGCCAGATCTCCTCGTGCAGGCTGCCCTGCAGGAACGCTGTGCTGAAGTCAAGAGAGTGAAGCTCGTAGTCACGCTGAGCAGCAACGTGCAGCAGAACCCGAAGAGTGGTCATCTTCGGGGTGGGGGAGAAGGTCTGGAAGAAGTCGACCCCCTGACGCTGACTGAAGCCTCTAGCAACGTAACGAGCCTTGAAGACAGGCGGAGAACCTGGCGGCCGCTTCACCCTGAAAATCCACATGCCATCGACGATGTTCGTCCCAGGAGGGGGAACCTCGTCGACGTAGGTGCCTGTGGACTTCCAGGATGCCATCTCGGCGTCCATGGCCGTCTGCCACTGAGAGGAGTAGGGACCCGCCATCGCCTCAGCGTAAGTGCGTGGGGTCGGGATGTCTGGTGCATCCGGGTCTCCCTCAGGGGCAAGCAACCAGGCCACGAGATGAGGTACAGCAGCCGCAAGAGAGTCAAAGTCCTCCTGCCTGTCCTCAAGGACGTCCGTGCCAAGAGCACACTCACCCCCGACGGACGGAGGACAGACAGACGCAGACTCAGACTCAGCAACAAGGCTAGCAGCGTAGTCTAGACGACAGGCAGCAGCAAAGTCAACCAACTCAGCGACCAGAGCAGACGCAGCCGAGGACTCAAAGGTAGGGTCAGTGACAACAGTAGCGAGGAGACGCGTGACTGTAGGGTGCTCAGCGCGATACCGGTCAGACTCAGGGTCCGGAACGGCAGGCAAAGAGGACGCAGGAGGAGACGGTAGAGGGACACGCCGAGGAGCAGTAGAGGGACGTAGAGTCATGTAGTGAGTGCCTGGGACAGGAGGAGGACGCTCACGACGGACACGACTACCAGTGCGAGCAGGACGAACAGGCGACGCAGGACGAGACTCAGGCTCACGACGCTCTGTAAGACCTCCTGTGGGACCAGTATAAGGAGAGGGAGCAGGGAGAGGCGAGGCAGGCGGTAACTGTGACTGCGGCTGGACAGGCGGAGGACACTCTACGGAGGGAGGAGGACAAGGAGGAGGAGCCTGCCCAAGAACCTGCTGAAGGAGCGGTACGAAGTACGGTCGCGGCCGCGCAGCGTCTCCAGAAGCAGAAGGGACTCCAGCGGCCGGGTCCTCAGCACCAGCAGGAGCTCCAGCGTCCGGGTCCACAGCACCAGCAGCAGCTCCACCGGCCGGGTCCCCAGCTCCAGCAGCAGCTCCACCGTCCGACTCCTCAGCACCAGCAGCAGCTCCACCAGGTGGGTCCGCAGCACCAGCAGCAGCGCCACCCCCAGAGTCGGCAGCTCCAACTCCGCTAGCACCGCCAGCGCCAGAGTCCCCAGCTCCAGCAGCTCCAGTCGCAGTGCTCCCAGAACAGCCAGTCCCGGCAGCTCCAGTACCCCCAGTACGAGCACCCCCAGGACGAGTAGCTCCAGCACCCCAAACTCCAGCCGAGCCACTAGGACGGCGAAAGCGTCGGACGTACCAGTCACGAAGCTGCTGCGGTGTGAGAGACTGCTCAGCACCCCGAACCGGAGCACCCCCAGACACAGTAACCCGAGGCTCCGTAGGCTCAGTAGCAGCACCCCCAGGCTCAGTACCCGCAGGCTCAGTACCCGCAGGCTCAGCACCCCCAGGCTCAGCACCCCCAGGCCTCGCACCCGCAGGCTCAGCACCCCTAGGCGCAGCACCCCCAGGCTCCGTACTCTCAGGCACCGTACCCTCAGCTCCAGCACCCTCAGTCCCAGCACCTGCAGCCCCAGCACCCCCAGGCCCAGCACCCCCAGGCTCAGCACCCCCAGGCTCAGCACTCCCAGCAGCACCACCCGCAGCAGCACCTGAGTCACCTGTGACCTCGACAGGCTCAGCGACGGGAGGAGGGTCTACCTGAGAGACACCTGAAGGAGCAGGACCCTGAGGGGGAAGGGGGTCTACCGGAGGGGGACCAGGAGCAAGGAAAAGTGGCGGGGGAGGGAGGGGGGCAGTGCGGTAGGGGAAGAGACGGTAAAAGGGGACCGACTCGTCAAAGGTGACATCCTGAGAGGCGAAGACCCGGCGCGAGGTGGGGTGGTAAAACTGCCAGCCAGGCGCGTCAGGGACAAAGCCAAGGAAGACACAGGGAAGCGTGCGGGAGGAGAGCTTGTCCGCGGACGTATCGCGGACAAGGGCACGAGCACCCCACACCCGGAAGCGCGACGCATCGCCAACCTCCCCCGTCCAACGCAGTGTGGGCGAGGTCTCCGGCAAGGAGACACGGGGCCAGAGGTTGAGCTGATGCGCGGCGTACCGGACAGCAAACGGCCACAGAAAATGGGGAGCCGCCGCGTGGACCAAGGAGGTACGAGCGATCTCCATGACCAGGCCAATGCGGCGCTCAGCAACCCCATTCTGCTGCGGGGAGTCCGGAAGCGTGAAGGTCTGCTCGATGCCCTCTGCCTGACAGAAGGTCCTCAGGAGATCGGAGGAAAACTCACCACCTCTGTCAGAGTGCAGACGCAGGACAGGAAGATCCGTCCGGAAACGGCGGCGGAGCTGGAGACGAACCGAGCGGATCCAAGGGATCAGAACAGCAGGGACCTCACCCTTGGTGCGCAAGGGGAAGACCGTGGTGTAACGCGAGTAGTCGTCGACAACCAGCAGAAAGTACCGCTCACCGCCCTGACCACGAACGCGGGCTGGGCCCCACACGTCCAGGTGGAGGGTCTCCAGAGGAGCCTCTGTCGGGGGGAACGAGGAGGAGTGAGGAGCGGCGCGCTGCCGCCCCTCGACGCAAGGAAGGCAAGGCGGCGCAGGCGAGGCAGGGAGGGGAGGGAGGGACCTGGGAAGACCGGACACAAGGAGGCGACGGTGCATGCCACGAAGGCGTGGCAAGGAGGGGTGACCCAGGCGGTGGTGCCAGAGAAGAGTCTGGTGCGACAGGGAACGACACTCACAGGCGTGGGCCACCAGACCTGACTCAGACACCTGACCGACAGCAGCTACCTGGGGAGACGCAGTGGTCAGTGTGTAGAGACTCGACCCCGGCCGACGGGTGAACGTGGCCAGGTGACGGCCGGTCCTGGAGCACGTGCAGATCGCCACACGCTGTCCGCCAGGGGTAAAGGTGTCAACCCACTGATCCTGGAGGACAGCGTTGCTCACCAGGTTCGTCGAGAACGAGGGGAGGTGGAAACCCGACAACGAGCCAGACGGAACCGCCGGACAAGGGAGGACAGTGGTAGACTGGGCAAGGACTGGGCCCCCAGAGGGGTCAGCCAAGGAGACTGGGACCGGTGCAGGAAGCGGTGTGAGCTCAGTACTGTCACGAAAGAAGCAACGGGAAGCACCTGAGTCAAGGGTGAAGGTGTGACAGGCCTCAGCCGGTGCGGTACCTGAGAGAGCAGTCTCTGTGGGTGCTGTACCTGAGAGAGCAGACTCGAAACCAGCCGGGACAGCACTGGAGGGAGCAAGTACAGGGGGCACCATACCAGAGAGAGCAGACTCACTAGTACCCAGGGCAGCGGGCTCTATACCTGGGTCAGGCGGCACACACAAGTAACAGTCTCCCTCGGCACTAACAGTCAATGCATACATGGCAGCAATAATAGCATCATAGTCAAGAGCAAAGACATCAACACCAGCCCTCATGAGCTCAGCCCAGCGGGGGCGCTCAACATCCGCACCCATCTCCTCACGCCAAGCGTCGTCAAGGCGGGAGAAGCAGCGGTACGGGGTGTGGAACCTCCCACACGTCTGTCCCTTGCGGTCACCTGTGCGAATGACATAAGAACAGCGGGCACTGGCCCCCGACGTCCCACGCTGAGCAAGCCACTCACGAAGCTGCTGGGTCGTCTGGGGACGCTGCTGCTGCTGGGAGCTCTGGCCAGAGCCAGTGCCTCCACTCCGACCTCCGCCGCCACCACTACCACCGCTCCGACCGCCACCGCCACCACCGCCACCACCGCCACCGCCGCCACCGCCGCCGCCGCCACTACTGCCACTGCTCCCTCCGCCGCCCCCGTCTCCACCACCGACCCCACTCCCACCAGCGCTCCCGCCACCGCTCCCTCCAGCACCGCCTCCCCCCCCACCTCCCCCACCTCCTCCCCCACCAGCGCCACCACCACCACTTTTGCCCCCCTTGCCCTTGCCGGTGCGGCGCCTCCCACCAGGAGTAGAAGCAGCGCCAACAGACTCAGCACCAAGGAAGTCAACAGCAGCAGCAGCAGCGTAGGAGGGAGCGAGGGGAGAGGGAGAACACCCCTCAAAGATGGGGGTGCGAGGAGCGCCACGAGCAGCACCGACAGCTACAATGCTCTTTTCGGCCGCGAGCAGGTGCTCCTCTAGGAGGGCGACTGTGAGCTCAGTGGGACAGCGAGCAAGGAAGTGGTCTCGAACTGAGCGTAGGGTGTCAGGGAGACGGGTGACTATGAAGTGGAGTGTCCAGTACAGTGGAGGGGGGTTCTTAGCGCAGAACTCGGTGGGAAGGGCGGCACGCAGGCGAGCATCACTAGTGCGAAGGTGGGTGATAAGATCGGCGACTGTAGTAAAGGTGGACAGATCGGGGAACAGGTACGGCAGCATGAGGCGGCTAAGCTCGGCTGTGGCAGGCGAGGAGTAGCGAGCGACGACAGCGTCGTAGAGGGCCTTAGCGGATTTGCAGTCGCCAAAATGCTCTAGCTCAGCTAACGGCAGGTGACTGCGAATGGCTAGGCGAGCAGCTGCGTCACGAGTCTGCCAGTGGGAACGAACACTAAGCTCAGCTGTGGCAGGAGGGGCAGGCGCAGCACCAGACGCGTAGTCATAGAGCGACACATGCTCCTTGCTATCGCTCAGGAGAAACAGCTGCAGGTCATCTAGCCAAGCGGTGAAACGCACAGGGCGGCCCTCAGCATCGAACGACAGCACGCGAATGGAAGCCATAGCGACAGTGTGACAGAGTAACGCAAGCTGCCGCAGCAGGGGAAGACGACTGTGCACGGATAGAGAGCAGCGGGCGAGGCTGGCGCTACGGGCAGGTGGCGCTGCAAGCGGTCAGTGCGACGGGAGGGCGACGCTGCGAGCGGGCAGCGCGGCGGACGGGCCGGGAAGCGGGCAGCGCGGCGGGCAGGCGGCGCTGCAAGCGGGCAGCACGGTGGGCGGGCGACGCTGCGAGGCGGGCGGGCCGCAAAGCGGGCAGCGGGCGGGCGGGCGGGCTGCGAAGCGGGCAGCGGGTCGAGCGGGCCGCGAAGTGGGCAGCGAGCGGGCGGGCGGGCTGCGAAGTGGGCGGGCCGCGAAGCGGGCAGCGGGGCGAGCGGGCTGCGAGGCGGGCGGGCCGCGAAGCGGGCAGCGAGCGGGCGGGCGGGCTGCGAAGTGGCGGGCCGCGAAGCGGGCAGCGAGCGAGCGGGCTGCGAAGCGGGCGGGCCGCGAAGCGGGCAGCGAGCGAGCGGGCTGCGAAGCGGGCGGGCCGCGAAGCGGGCAGCGAGCGGGCGGGCGGGCTGCGTAGCGAGCGGGCCGCGAAGCGGGCAGCGAGCGGGCGGGCGGGCTGCGAGCGGGCGGCTCGGCGAGGGGCGCGCGAGGGCGCTAGTGAGGGGCGCGCGAGGGCGCTAGTGAGGGGCGCGCGAGGGCGCTAGCAAGGGGCGCGCGAGGGCGCTAGCAAAGGGGCGCGCGAGGGCGCTAACGAAGGGGCGCGCGAGGGCGCTGACGTGAGTGCGCGCGAGGGCGCTAACGAGGGTGCGCGCGAGGGCGCTAACGAGGGCGCACGAGGGCGCTACGAGGCTAGGGAACGGGGTAGCGTGGTAACCGCATGCGAGCGGTGGTGGGCCCTAAAAAAAAACGATCGGTAGGTCCTAGGGACCTCCTGCTCTGAATACCATGTCAGAATCACTAGGCAAGAATGATGAACTAGCAGAAGTTTTGGGTACAAATATGAAACCCTAGTTGGGGTTGTACCCCATATTGGCTACCCCACTACAGCCTACAAGCATACTACAGTTTAACAGGCAAAACCGACCCAACTTGTGCACCATAAATCTTGGATCGTTCTTCATCTTCATGCGTTTCGTGTACACGGTCAGGTTGTGCACCGGTTGTTTTCTCAATTGACAGTTCCACATCTTCTTGCACTCTGTCAATACGAGTTGAACGCGCACTGTATACTCTCGCAGCAATTACTGATTCCACTCGTCCGTCAGGATTGCTTGACTGATCCACAACTTCCTCACTGCAAGACGATTTTGCACTGTTTGCTTGCTCAAACGAGACGTTGCCGAATGACGCCTGCTCATGCTGCATGAAGTACGTTACTGGTTTAGCTCGTCTCTCTGGTACTCCTGCCACTTCAGAAGCAAAATACGAGCTACCCCAAATCTCACCCTCATTACACTCTTCAAGAAAAGTGTAATGATCATTGGATAACAACAAATGAATCTGGTTATCCTTAGATAGAAATTCTAACCCTTCGTATTGCACCCATTCGCGAGAATTAATCCATACCACAACAGTTTTGTTCATTAACTCACAAAATGCTCTAATTTCGCACATAGAACCCCAAACTGACTGTTCTTTGACATATTGAACATACTCATCTACCGTCGTTAACGAAACATCGTGACACATTGCAACCAGCTCTTGATATCGCGACCAGTTAGCACAAACATGCTCAATAATCCTCACTTTCAATGGGTCCCAATAATTATCGTCATTCCATGTTGCGAGTGAAAGGCATCTATATAAACACGCCCCATCGCCTCGCACCAATCGCCTACGAAACACATACCTTCGCCTTAACTCACCGTCAAGCGAAGGCCCCGTGAAAAGATGTGATGAAGAAGGCTCCATAGCTGGGCGAAGACAACCGTCCGACAATTTATCTCCCTCGTTTACCTGAGTACACACACAAGTTCATATTATCGAATAACAAATGATAAACAATGGATAAGATGAGACGAGTTGGAAATTCAATTGCATTGTACAATGGTATGATAAATGGAACCTAAAAAAGAATACAACATGTACTTGGCAAATGATAGTGAAATTTGCCTTATTAGCACACGTGATAAAATATGCTCGAATGAGTCAAATCTAATAACATATCTAATACAATTGAATAGTAAAATGGAAAAAAAACGAACGTTTCTAATTTACCCGTCAAATGAAATTGCTTACTAGGATCACTTCGGCACTCTTCGCAATGCTCGAGTAGAACAACGATATAGCCGATGGTACTGCAAGAAAATGAGCAGGAGAAAAAAACATATTAAACAAATATAAGATTTGAATATTATCCTTCTTTGTTGATACATACATAAAAATATCACTTAGTATAGCATAACAACAACTACCCTCCAATCACGTGCTTTGATCCTCAAACTTTTTTTGTCAATTAGCAGTATAACCAGACTTCATTTCATATTCAGAAACAAAAGAATAGTACAGATCATATGCCATCTTAAATTATGTGAAACTCTTAGAGTAATACATAATCAAAAGTACAAAAAAAACGCATCACATAAGCTCAAAACTCCCCAAAACTTGTGTTACAAAATCACATACTTGAATTGCAGCCAGTGGCTCAGAATCTGCTACTCAATGAATAGAGAACCAGAAAATGTCAAAAGATCTGGAAAAAAGCAACAAACAAGCAAAACAAACACATGACATTAGTTGTATTTCTAAAAAACCAAGCACACATGCCACAACATTTTCATTACGTATTATACTTGCAAATTTTATAGTTATAAACACGCTCTGGGGTTTGATAACACAATGAACCACAGAATTGATGGATTTGTAAAAAAAAAAAAAGAACAAATTTTAACATAGTTTTTAAATTGTGAGTGTGAAGTAACAAAGCTTCACATGAATACTACAAGTTTGGTACCTTCAGATGATGAGAAATCTTAGTTGGCTTAAATGACAGAGGGTAATGAAAGCTTGGAGTTGTCCCTGAAAAATGATGGTCAATACATACAATGGAAATAAAAGACATCCCATATGAGAGAACCGTGTAACAAAGTAAAGAGCACACAAAGATACCAAGATGTGAATTGTTTTATTTTTTTACATGCTCGATAAAAAAAGCTATGAAAATGTCAGAAACGGTTATACCTGAAGATGTTGAAAAACTCAGGTCCGTGTTCTGGTAGTAGATATACTGAAAGCCTATTAAGGTGGTCCCTAGAAAAAAACAAAAACAGAACAGTCAAACATCCAACCCATATAAGAACGTAGGCAATGGGTGAGAACGAATGAGACAGTTGAGCAAACAGCAAGAAAGATGTTAACATCAAGAATAAATGTCAGGGAAAAGATTCGAAAAACATAAAGGATATGTTTAAAGGAGGAGAAAGTTCCTCTAAAGTTGCATACCCTGAATAAAAGGAGAACGTGGCCTGAGAAAGAAGAAATATGAGAGTGCTAGAAAGTCTGTAAGTGACTTACAAGGAAGTAGAGGTAGGAATGAAGCTGATGATTCAACCTTGGAGTAGGAAGAATACAATGTGAAAGGAGAGAATGAGAATATGCTAGGTCCAGGAAGAGAGCAAAGCTCACCCCATCATTCTACAGATTTCATGAAATGCTATGCCAGGATGAGATAGGTTGATGATGGTCCTAATAACAAATTGAACCATAGACAAAACAGGCAGGTGGCAGCATTAAAGGTGGACGCATGAAAGGTGGCAGAATCAAAGGTGGCAGCATCAAAGGTGGCAGCATTAAAGGTGACAGTAAATTTGACCTCACATTTTTCAATTACAACTGTAAAAAAACGACTTCCGTGAGAAGTGTCTATAGCTGTCACGTGAACAAGTTGAAAGCAGAATCGATTTTTTTACTGGGGGAATCGGATATTTCAAAGTTGCCTAGTGGGCAAGCCACACCACCCCAAATTTTCGCGCGTGACAAGCCCCTGACACTGCTGACATCGGCAGCAGAGCACGAAGCACGAAGCGAGCGAAATTTTCGCGCATTACACTACGTTTTCGATATTAGAACAACAAACAAGTAAAATCAAAATGATGTCTTTAACAATCGAAACAAAAACCGAGCCATAGAGGACATATTTTTGAAGTCTTATAAATGTTTAAAACAACACACAAAGCTACTATAAGCGCATCTAATACATAAAAAAGGTTTAAAGCATAAACTAAAACGTATTTAACGACTGATAACATTAAAAATAACAAAATTATAAGAGATTTGTATTTCGTCATTGTGGACAGAAATGTCACATGTAACTTCAAGAAAAAAACCGAACTGTTTTTTACAATATTTCAGAATGGTTTCTACAATATAGCTGGAAAGCAAAAGATGTGAAATTACAAATGAAATTTAAAACGAGAATTTCACATCAAAAACATGCTGGAATTTCACCTACGTCAGCAGCGCCGTTCGGACTTTCGTGCTGGTTTCTGACGACGCTGCTGACGTCAGCACGATTTCACGCGCGTGATAAATTTCGACGTCATCAGCTGTTACGATTTTGTTCTTTCGGGAAGAAAATCCTGCCCCCGCAGCTGCCAGCGCCTCAGTCACGTTTCACGCGCAACCTGCCAGCGCGTCAGTCCCATTTCACGCTCAGGACAGGATGCGCTAAAACTGTACCATCCAAAACGTCCTACACATGCGCCAAAACAGATCTACCCCCAGGACAGAAAGAAACAAAACGAGCAATGTGGCAAATTGGCAGAAAAAACGAAAGCAGAAAAGAAACCGACTTTTCTCGAAACAGTTGAAAAAACGCGCCACGAAATTTCGCGCTGACGTCAGCAGCGACGCCCAAAATTTCGCGCTCGAAAAAAATCGCTGACGTCAGCAGTCAAGCGTCGCATATTCCGTGAAATTTCGGTGCGATGCTGCTGACGTCATCCTCCCAACACGCTTGAAACTGATTCCTTGTGAAACAAGTGATAACTGAAACATAAAAAAACAGCTAAAAAACTATTTATCTTGTTAGACTTTAACATCAATAATTTTTTTTACAGCCTTATCAATTTACAAACCCTCAATCTCTTTTGTGGAACCTCAAATAATCATAAAACCAAATAAAGCAGAGATTTACATACCGTAAACCATAAAATCGACCCATAATATGTCATAATGAAAAAAAAACAACACAATCAAATTAGTTCTTAACTAAACGCATGTTACGAGAGTTGCTTCGCAACCCTAAGACGATTTCGTCGCCTCTTGTTTTTTTTTTTTTGTGTTTTTTTTTTTTTTTTTTTTTTTTTTTTACGCTTTTACCCTCGCATGGCCCACCTGGTTGCTACATGTTGTTGATAGCCCTGGACACAAGACTCACTTCTTGAGTGATAGCTTTTTACAGAAAATGCAAAAATTTCGCTTTATGTGGGGTGGTTCGAGCAGTAAGGGAAGTTAATCTCGTAATGGAATTGATGTTGATGCCATGCCGATGCCCTATGCTTGGAAAACATGACTATAAACTGTGAATGTTGGTCGCGGCTTGTGATCGACTAGAGGAGACCGCCAACGTCCACAAGTCGGCGCCTGCAGAGAGAAAGTCTACAACAATGGTGGGAGCTAAACTACGGGGTTGGCACGAGTTGTGTGAGTGATCACAGTGTTCCTTAGCATTCATTAGCACTTATGCGTTCATAAAACAATTTGGCTCGATTTTCAGCAGGGAAAATTGAATTGTGGACAGAGTGATTGAACAAGCAATGGCAAGAATGACCACATCAAAGCCAAGTAACCTAGCAGGCAAGCTGGTCGACCGCCAGCACAGCAAGGTCGACAGTCTTCCAACGTAGTGTAGAGGCACCGCGCCAGCGTTGCAGAAGAGCGATCTGCCGGAAGAGCAAGTCCGCGGCTCGCCAATGCTGCACCAAGGTGACTTGCCAACGTTGCAACCGCACGTAACAGGAGCGCAGGTGCGCACTCAGTTCGCGAGTGCGCGGCGACAGTCAAGCACGTCCTCTACCATCGCGAGGACGTCAGGTTGACCGCGTGCTGACGATCGCACTAGAAGCTCTACGTCGACCTCGGGATACCAGCCCGAGGTTGCCTTCGCCATCGCGACCTTGACAACAATTGCATGCCTCCGTAGATCCTCGTTGAGGTAACATGGTCAATCGGGTCAACCATCCAGTGCGCGGCCTGGTCAACAACCTCCTTCGTCGACCCGCGCCCGTCGAAGTCCCCTTCTGTTGACAGCCCGTCCATCGACCAGCTCAGTCAGCTGCAGCTGTCAGGCTCCCCGTCGACGGCATTGTCGCAGCGGTCCCCTGCAGCTCGACGAAACCCGTCGAGCTACTAGCCCAGGCTGGCGTCGACCACTACATATGCGGAAAATTCTGTTCTATGGGAAAGCTGAATTTTGTGGGACGCATGGTCAAAGTTCTGGCAGTGTTTCTTGACAGAGTGTTAGAATGACTTGATGGAAGTCAAGCATAGTTTCACTATAGAAAGTGGATAAAACAAGCTTATGGTACGAGGAAGGAGATCCAAAATAGCAAGCACAATGATCTCTGGAGAAACGTTCCTCGGCAAACGCTTGACCTTTCCGAGTCAGCAACGCCAGGTGAAACGGCAAGCACATGTGTCTTTCACATGAGCTGGCAGCTTCTCAGGTTTTCAACTTTCGGACTTGTTTACGTTTTTACATTTTGTAAAAACGTGATTCAGGTTTAGTTTCCTTAGTGATTCAAAATCTCCTGGAGAGTACAATTTCTGAAATGATCTGATTGGTCGAAATTTTCTGTTTTGCGATTGGTCGGAATTCACGCACATCGCGAATCTCGGAGACAAGTAATTTCGGTCGACCAGAAACGCTTTGCTCGTCGATGCCTCGTTCGAGCTTAGTTGTCGACCAGTGTTTCGTTGAAACATAGTTTTCTACAATTATGCCGAACCGCAACGCTCAATTTTGACGCCAATTTGCTCTGTGGACTACGGGAAGTTGCGTAGAGCAGAAACGACGCTTCAATTTTGACGGGTTAGTCTTGTCGAAAATCGACCAGTCGAACAGAGAATAAAGTTTCAGAAGTCGCCGGTGACTACGAAACAAACACCGTTGTGCTCCTAAAAGCATGGCCGACTTTGCCCAAGCAAGAGCGGAGCCTTTTCTCTTCGTCAGCGTACGTTGGTTGCTTCTCCCGCGCACCCGACCAAGAAGTCGGCTTCGCCCAAGAGAGAGCGGGGCCAACACTCCATTCCCGTTAACAGCGCCACCCCAGTTTGACGTCACACTATTGTCGACCGC